TTCGGTTGTCGTTTGATTTTTGTGTGCTGACGTCATACGCTGGAACATACTCCCCCGCCTTGAGCGGTCCGCTCAAAGGTTGACTGTGATGATTCCTGACTGTAGTGAACGTTGAGTGCTGCATCTGTTGAGTCTTCTTTGTTATTATCTTCGATGGGCAATAAGCTTAATTTGTGAATTGGTCGTCTTAAACTTTTTGAACGACAAAGCACATCGACGGCTCTTACTAGCCCGTCAGACCCTGGATGTGTTTGAATGATTTTGCCAAGAGACCAACATGTAACTGGCTCGTTATCCTCAGACACGAGCACAATTTGACCTATTCGTACGTTTGGTTGGTTATTCATCCATTTTTTCCGTGTTTGCAATGTCTGGATGTATTCCTTGGACCATAATCGCCAAAAGTCACTTTTTAACCGATTCAAATACTGATAGTGACTTAGTCGGTTCAACGGAATGTGTCCTAACTCTGGTTCTGGCAATGTGTTCAACGCTTTACCAACTAAAAAGTGACCAGGTGTCAAAGCCTCAATATCATCGACTTGTGTTGGAATTGCCCACAAGGGCCGTGAATTAACAATCGCTTCAATTTCGATTATTAGTGTGTTGAAATCTTCGAAACAAAGACGCACATTGCCTAAAACACGTTTAAGGTGATGCTTCATAAGCTTGACGCTACTTTCCCAACCGCCGAAATGCGGTGCGCGAGCTGGGATTGTTGACCAGACGATTCGGTTTTTGGTTAACTCTTTATTTAATTCATTGTCAACTTGTGATAGAGCTAAATCGAGCATTTCCTGGATCTCTCGTACTGCCCCGATGAAATTTGTTGCGTTATCTGAAAACATTCGTTTCGGTATTCCTCGTCGTCCGATAAATCGTTTGAATGCTTTCATGAATGTTTCCGTTGACAAATCACTAACGATTTCAAGGTGAATAGCTCGTGTTGTAAGACAGACGAAAACCGCGACATATCCTTTGACATATGGTGCATTTTTGCGTTGCGATGATTTTATGTCAAAGTACCCGGCATAATCTACACCAGTGAATGTAAAGGGAACAGTTTCCTCTAATCGGTATGCTGGTATTTCGCCCATTTTCTGTACAAGCAGTTTTTTCTTGAAACGGAAACATGTTATACATTTGTGTATTACTGCCTTAATCGCAGTTCGTGCATTTACAATCCAAAAATTGTGGTACAATTTTTGTGCAGTCAATCCAAATCCACCATGCAATGTTTTTTCATGTGCATGTCGAATCAATAGTGTCGTGAAATGATGTTTTGGTGGTAAAATTACGGGATGTTTTGCATTGTCAGGTAATGATGACTTTTGAATGCGTCCACCGACTCGTAATACACCGTTGATATCAAGATATGGATCCAAATTGGCAATTGAACTTTTCATTCCGACTGCCTGACCCTTTGCTAGTGGTGTGATTTCTGTAGAAAACATATCATTCTGGACGAGTTTGATTAACTTGACTTCCGTTTGTCTCAATTCTTCACTGGAAATCGGATCGGATCTTTCACTTTTCTTGTGTTTCCATCTAAGACAGCGGGTGATCACTCGCAACATTCGTTCATAGTTTGAAAATCTTGCTGTGATTATATTCGATTCGATCATTTCAGGGGTACTGATTGCAGCAATTACTGCTTGTTTTCGTTCTTCCAAGTTTAGTTTTGATAAAGAGCTCCCTTTCAAGTTGGTTTTTGGCCATTCTTGCTCATTTTTCAACAGAAACTTGGGACCATACCACCACAAATCAAATTTTTCTAATTCATTCTGTGTTAACCCACGTGACGCACAATCGGCTGGATTTTGAGCTGTTGGAATGTGTCTCCAATTATGTGATGGTAGTAGATCTTGTATCTCGACTACTCTACCAGCGACGTAAGTTTTCCACCGACTTGGATGATTGGCGATCCAATGGAGAACGATCTCCGAGTCGCTCCACGCTTGCTGACGTAAATTCGGTATTTTCAGTGCACCTTTCACCTTTTCCATCAGTTTTGCGAGTAATACGGCTGCATTTAACTCTAACCGTGGAATGGATAGCTTTTTTAATGGCGCAATTTTCGTTTTTGCTGCAATCAATTGACATGAAACCTTATCATTTTGGTCTTGCACTCGTATGAACGTAACGCTTGACATGCCTTTTTCTGACGCATCACAAAATCCATGGAGGGAGACACCTTTTATATCGGTTTTCAAGCCGATCCATCTTGGTACTTTGACGGTGCATGGTGAAAAAAACTGTTGTCGAATGTTGGTCCATTTTATGATTGTTTCTGATGGCAACTCGTCATCCCATCCAACTTGGAGTAACCATAAATCTTGCATAAACATTTTTGCTGTAACAACACATGGAGACAACCAACCGAGTGGATCGAATAATTTTGCAATTTCTGAGAGAATTGTTCTTTTTGTCCATTTCTTTACTTTTTTTAATTCGGCTGGTATAAACAAGAAATTATCAGAGCTCGGTTGCCATTGAATGCCTAATGTTTTAAATACGTTTGATGGAGAGCTATCTTTTTCACTCGTGGCTAATTCATCAAGAATTGTGCTATCATTGGCTTTCCATTTTCGAAGCAAAAATCCGTATTTCCCCAATGTTTCCGACATCATTTTAATTACTTGTTTAGCTTCATCGATTGTATCAACGGAATCGAAAAAGTCATCTACATAAAACTGAAATCTGATTTTGGCTGCCAACTTGGGATTACTTTCGTCAATATCATCGGCAATTAAAAAAAGTGTTCTAATTGCGAGATACGGTGCACTTGCCACCCCAAAAGTTACGGTTTTTAGCCGATAACTTTTGATTTCTGACGTGCCTGGTGCTTGCCATAAGATTCGTTGGTAGTCCGAATGCTCTGGGTCAATCCAAATCTGCCTGTACATCTTTTCGATGTCTCCTGTGATAGCATACTTGTTCTTGCGCCAATGGATCAATATTGAGAACAAATCACTCTGCAGGGTGGAACCTACCAAAAGCTGGCTGTTTAGTGAGTTACCGTTGCTCGTCTTGCAACTGGCGTCATAAACTGCTCTTACTTTGGTTGTTGTACTTGAATCTTTAAACACAGGGTGGTGGGGTAGGTAGTTGTGAGGCGATGCCATTGTTTCAGCGAGTTCCATATGATTTAGCTCCAAATATTCGTGAATGCTTTTATCGTATATGGTTTTGAGTGCAGGATTGGATAAAAATCGAGTGGTCATATACATGTAGCGTTTTTGTGCGATAAAACGTGACTCACCTAAATCTGGTTTGTCAGTTTTAAATGGCAATTTTACCATAAATCGACCATCATCGCATCGCTTTGTTGTTTTCACGTAGATATCTTCGGCTAACTGTTCTTCTGGTGTGAAATGCTTGTTTTTTGGTATTTCTTCGCTTTCCCAGAAGCGTTTTAAATCACGTGATAGATCTTCATTTGAAACTTTTAAGGTAAAAACTGAGGCGGTTAACTGTTGGCCACCATCACCACCTGATACAATCCAACCCAATTCGGTTTTCTGGGCGATCGGCTGGCCAGGTGAGCCTTTAATCAGACCATCCATTATGATTTCGGAATGAATAGCCGAGCTTAGCAAAATATCTATTCGCCCTCCCTTCATCCATTCTGGATCGGCGAGTTCCAAGCCGTTGAGATGCAGTAATTCATCGTTGTTTGGTGTAGTTGATACTGTTGTTATGTGTGGCACAACTAAAGCAGGAAATTTCAAACTGTATTCTTTGTTAGAAACAGATTGTATATGCACAACCGTTTTCCTTTTGACTTTATATGCCACAGTATCACACAAGCTGAGAATCGGCAATGTGATGTTTTGTTCTGTCAAATTCAAAGCCTCGCACAACCGCTTTGTTATTACATTTGCGGTAGCTGCTTGATCTATCAATGCGCGGGCGAGAATCTGTCGATTTCCGTTTATAATTTTAACTATGGCTGTTGCCAACGTAACATTTTTTGATCGATTTTCTCCGTCAATGTGTAAAATCACCTCGTTTTGCATTTCCATTGCTTGAACTTCTTCTGGTTCAAGTTGAATGCCCTCTTCAAGAGTCATTATATTATGGATTCGTGCAGGTGGATGTAATGCTGTGTTATGGCGCATTGAACATTCTCGGCATGAGTATTTTGATGTGCACTTCTCAACTGGATGTGTATAAAGGCAATTTATGCAAAGGCCTTTATCTGAGATAAATGTTATGCGATTTTCGGCAGGAATTTCGGTCAACTGAGGACATTGGAACGCAAAATGTTCGTTGATTTTTTTACAAATTGTACACTTTTTCGTGTTCGTTGCAGTAACTAATACCTTGGGTTTGCGAGACGTAGCTGAAGTATTGGTACAGGCTGGCATTCGTGTATTAGCAATTGTTTTCAACACGTTAATTCGAATTTCCAAAAACTCAATGAATTCAGACAATTTCGGTACTGTATTGCTGCCTTGAATTCGCTCTTCCCAATATTGGATGCTACTTTCATCCAGGCGAAAAATCAATATTGCATCCCAAGTTGTTGTCTCAATTCCGTAACTGTTGACGGTGGCGATGCATTCATTTAGTACATCAAGCATTTTTGTCAGTGCTTCAAATGACTCTTTCGTCACTGGTTCCAAATCGAATAAACGCTTTAAGTTGGCATTAATTATTGTGCGTTCTTTATCATATACTTTGTTTAGTATTGTCCATGCACGATCATAGCTGCCAGTCACCATTGGTAAATGTCTAATTTTTTTAAATGCTTCACCCTGCAAATAGCCTTTCAAGTAATGAAATCGGCATGTTCCATCGGCTATATGCGTTAATGTATTTTCACAGGTCGCTTTAAACTCGGGCCATTCCAATTCGTTGCCAGAAAATGGTTTGATTTGAACTGGTGGCAGTTTAAATGATGGCTGTAGTCTGATCATTCTTGGATTATTAAAGCCTTCATTCATGTTCATATGATTGTGGTCTTGATTTGTACCTGTATTAGTATCATCAGAGTAACTGTGTGACATATCAGCGGTACTTTGCCGGCGTTGAAACATGGTCATCGACTCATGAAGAGCATTTGCATCGCCTGGCAATAATTCAGTGAGTTTGGCCAAACCTCTGATGTACAATTCACGTACTTTTGTTGTTTCTTCGATATGCTCATTTGTGCCGACCCAGTCACGTGAATTTTCCAATTCCGAAGTGTTATTGCGGAAATCCGACCATAACTCTTCAAGTGCCTCTTTTCGACTGAGCAATACCACTGCGGTTGTTGTGATTTGAAAAGTATCGATTATTTTCAGCTGAGCTTCAATATCATGAGTGAGCCGCTGTCGTGTGAATTTTAAACGTTCTATTTTGTTTGCCATTTTTTTTTTCTCTCTTTTGTTTCTGTATGTATATATTTTTTACTTTGGCTTTTTTTTTTTTTTTTTTTCTTTTTTGCCCTCTTTTTTTAGCGTCTCTTTTTTTTTTTTCGCTCTTTTTTTTTTGTGGGGACTTTTCTTTTTATATATATTTTTTTTTTCTTTTTTCCTTTTTTTTTGAGGACAACACAAAATAGCAACAAAACACCTATATTTTTTTTTTTCAATATATCTCTGAGTGTCTCTTTATTTATTCATAGAGCAATACTTGTACAATTCTACTGATGGCGAGCGTTGTATTTTTCTCTTTTGACAATGTTTCGTTTTTGTTTGCGCGTCAAACCAGTCAAGTGTACCGGCAACTGTGGCTGCACTTGGTATTGCACAATGGGTGGATATGGATACTGAATTGGTGGTTGCTCTTGATAATAGTGTTCCGGTTGATGGTAGTGAACTGGTGGTTGAAAGTGAGTTGGTTGATGATGAAAATGAATGGGTTGTTGAATCAACTGCGGCTGATGGACAGGTGCCTGTGCTGGTGGATACGGTAGGTTTACCTTGTGAGTCCAATACGACCGCAACGGTGGCTCTTCTGACGGTACGACAACTGGCGGTGGTTGTCGTTTGAATGGTGGGCCCACCTGAATACCAATGCTCACTTTCTTTGGTGATTCTTTTGTCGGGGTATTAGCTATGATCCGAACCACTCGTTTTACGGTATCAATGCTATTTGCCGGAATGTTATCTGGTTTTGGAAGTGATGGTTGTTCACTTGGTGACGGTTTCAATGTTGATTGTCGAAGAAGGTGACCGCGTTGATTGTTATTGGGCAGCTCAACCTTTTCATCAATGATGAGTACATCGTTATCTACTTCAGCCGTTATTTGTAGTTGTTCTCGGCGCTGTGCCGGTGTTACATGAGGATTTTTTCGCTCGGCGCTAAATTTCACACGGGTGGCTGGCTTATTGATCCGTTTTATGCAACGGGCGACACTATTCCATGTGCGTTTTACAATGGCTGTTTTAGCGCGAGCGTAACTTCGCTTTGCTACCAATAAATTTGCTGGCACTATGCACAGCAAATTTGAAAGAAAGAGAA